TGCTCTTCTCCAGATGCTGATGGCGGGTGTATTGAGCTGTGGGTCAGGTGTTGGAGTGTGTTCTTGTGTTCATCATTCCGCTGTGTCCTGATCTGCAGTGATGGTGGTTCAGTATCTCTGTCTCTTCATTAGTCTGTCACAGGGTTGGGTTCGTTTGGGTTTTTTCGATACTTTTTAAACGGTACTGGTGCCAAAATGGTACCTGAACCGATACTTTTGAGCCACAAATGATGGTGGACGACTCTAGAAAAATCTTTTATTTGACTAAATCTTTATAAAAATAGTTTGAATAGAACAATATTACTAAAGTTTGGTGTAAACATCAGTTCATATTTCATGTTTGTGAATTACATTAATAAATCTCCTTTGATCATTCGCGGGCAGGGCAGGGCATCATGTACTTTTGTGTGCACATTTGACCATATATACATCACAAAATACTTACTCTAATTATTGGAAGTCATTAGTTTACATCACTCTGCAGTCTTCATAAACAAGATAATTAAATAACTTGAACTCTAAATAATCTTCCTTCTTCATTTATTTGACCAGTAACGTTATGCTGGTGTAGGAGAACACATCTCTAACATTCATTACATCAAGGCACATCGCTGCAGCTGTACACTTTAACAGACGGGCCTACAGCTGAAGCCGATTTATTTTGCCCTCCAATTCATTTACAATAATGTTTCTGAACATTTTACAGTGTTTCCTAAAGAATTATGATTCTGGAGTCATAATAATTGTATTTCTTATTGCTTATTTCTTGAATAAAAGCTGTTTTTAATTTAAATAAAGTAAGGTCAGTATTATTAACCTCATTAAGAAATATTTACAGTATATTTTTGATTTACACAACAAATCGATTACAAAATCATTTGACTAATTATATTAACTTATTAATTATATTAACAGAGAGAGCGAGTGCGCACGTGGCTGTGTCAGAATGCTTGCTTATTAAATACACTTTAGAGTCTTAGTTTAAGCTAATCTGATGAACGCGATCATGCTTGTTGATCTAAAGCAGTGCTGGGCAAACGTTTTAGACCTGAGAGCCACATCAAGATTTGCAAACCAAGTGAAGGGCCACACGTCTAATTCTTCAGAAATAACTTTTTTATTTATAGTGGCAGTGTGATGGAGCATGTAAAATCAGACCTAAACATGTCACATTAACACTAAACAGATGTTTTATATTATTAAGTCAAATGTAAAAGTCAAGTTAAATAGCTCTGCTTTACTTATCAATCATCATAAAACAATAAAATAATCACTTATCAAATATAATAATTATAATGTAGTAATTTTCACAGTGGAGAAATGAAAATATATTGTCTGATAGAAAAACAAATCTCATATTAACACATTGAAAATAAATAATCCTTAAAGTTTACTATTCAGTCAAATTTACATAATTCTAATGAGCACTGCTTTTACAATATACAGACCAGTCATCAAACAACTTGATAAATCCACAAAACCTTGATAAAATTACTTTTTAAAGTGGATGTATGCATGGAGAATATGTTCTATGACAAAAATTAACACATTTAACCAGCAATTATCATATCATTTGAGTCAAATGTACATCAATGTCATCTGAGCTATCGCGTGTGCCCCCCCGCGTCGCGTGCCCTGCAGATCTTTCCGCTGCGCCACTTCTTTATTGGCATATTAGACATAGCGCTTTCTGTCCGATATTGGTGAAGAAGTATTTTGCTGTCCATTCTTCCTTAAACACACAACATTCCGAGTCAAATTGTGTTCTCAATCTACTGATTTCACTAACTGTACTCAGCAATACTGCCATCACATGGCGTTCACTTGTAACTGCATCATTGAAATTGTTCAGCGGGTCGCATATGGCCCGCGGGCCGCAGTTAGCCCACCTCTGATCTAAAGAGTCGCAATGGCAACTCCGCTTTCCTCAGAGTTGTTAAAGATAACCCACTTTCACACCAAACAGGGCATTTAATACCGAAATGGATTATACCCACATTTACTGTGCATTTACTCATTTAATTCCAGCGCATAAACCATTTCAAATGTGCAGTCCTGCTATATACAGAGCTAAACATGATAAAGGAGATCATAAAGGAGACTTTGGCTGGCTCCAGTGTGTTTAATCTCGCTCAGATCAGTCAACATGTCCGCTTTAGGATCCTCTGAGCAGTTTCTGGAAGCAGTGGAGACCCCAGAGCAACATCAGGAGTGATCTACTGTATCTGAGCTGTGGTGCATCGTGGGAAGGGGAAGAGAACAAATAAAGGCTTTTATTTATTTAGTTTTTAACTAAATAGCCTTTATATGTTCACATGGCTGTTGAATATTGTGATATTTCCCCCAGTGATGTAAGAAGCCGATCTCTCCAAAGCATCAAATCAATTGATCTAGTAATTTCTTTGCAAAAGCACTAGCTGATTAAGTGTTTGTGCGAAACACCACCTGCTGGCGACCCCTGCTGCTTAATACACGTAAATGCATCAAACTCTGGCCAAAACTGTAAAAGTCCTTGCCAACAGAGCAGGGGGAGGCTGCTGACTTGGATCCAGACAGATCTACAGCCCAGGCAGTTTTACGCCCCTGTTGTGTCCAGTAGAGGGAGGCAGTACAGTGTTATTTTAAGCCTCCAGAACTTTATCTCACCCAACCAAACGCGACACGATGAAGAGGTATCTATGTTAAATACGTGTTTAAAACATGAAACTTAAACCTTTTAAAAAAATTAGATTAAGATCGATATGATTGTATGTCAACACAAACAAATTGGTGTAATATAATAGCAATGTGTTAGTTTGACTCAATTTTAGGTAAGTATGTGCAGGCAAGCTACATGTTCTACATCAACAAAAGAGTAAAATAACAATAACCTACATAAGAAAGTGTGTTATGTAGGCTAATTTTCTTTTACCTTTTTGTCTCAGCAAGGGAGTAATTATTATATATTCAATATTTTTTTAAAGATATATATTTTCTCATAGATTAGACAATACACTTGCATGGTCTGGGTTGTTAGCCAAATCTACACTACAACTACACTACATTATTCTTCCAAATTTGACTTTCTTAAATATTGAAATTAATCTAAACAGCTCTGACAATGTAATTGATTTTATTTTAAATTTTAAAATTGCATTGCTTTCAATTACAATCAATGTAAGGCAATCCTGTTCTAATTTAAACAATTAAACTATCATATATCTATAAATGCATATAGAAACTCCTAATTATA